TGGGGCACGCACGCACGGACCCTGCACCCATCCAAAACGTCCCAGCCCAATTACTCGGGAGCGCGCTTCCACAGGCCGCCTCATGGGAGGGCCTTTCTCCCTTGCCGGCTCGCCGAGAGATACACGCATCGCGGCCGGGGGTGGGTGGGTGCGTGGGTGGGTGAGGGGGCCGAATACTTGTTCAATTCGACCCCGATCCACAGCCTTGCACGGTCCCTACCCAAACTGCACACCCACGCTCTCTCTTCGCCCGATCCACAGCCCTGCACGGCCCCTCCCTCCCTCTGGCATTTCTCGGCAGCGATCCTATGGTTACGTCGTCGTCGTCGCGAGCAAGACCCTCAAGGGATTCAGGAGGCCGAACTGGCGCAGGATCAGAAGCTGCACGGAAGACCATTCCCGTTTTTTTCTTTCTCCTTTTGAAAAGAAAAGCCTCTGGTCCTTCAGCCTTCCTGAGGGGGAAGCGGGGGGGGGGGAGAGAGAGATTTTAATAAAGAAAACAAAACTATAGCCGGACTTCCCGATCAAAGTTAAAGATGGGAAAGAAACGGCTTGTGGGGCTGAGAGAAAGCGGGCGCGTGACTGGGTAGGGAGCGTGCCAGGCTGTGGATCGGGCGCACATGTTGGGGTCTTTTGAAGACGACCAAGTTTATCTTAAGTGCGAGATTCCGTGGCTCAAAGTCCGCTTCCTTATAGACACCGCCCGTGGCTTTGGATCCAGGAACGCTCGCGTGAAAATAAACCTAAAATACAAAAGCAAGCGCAGGCGATCCCTTTCGAGACCCCCCTCAGCGAATTATCACACAGCACGAATCGACTCGTTGAGCGGTCTCTAAAAGAAATCGCCTGCGCTTCCTTTTGTATCTGGTTTTGCATTATCCACCCGGCGTCCTTTTAACTGCGGGTGGAGGGCTCTGGCTGCGGAGCCAGAGGGTTGGGAGTTCGATTCCCCTCATAGTGCCCCTTGGCAAAGGCTGGACTGGATGATCTCTTCAGAGCTCTGCAGTTCTCGGAGGAAGAGAAGGGTGGAAATAACTATATATTTTGCCTGCTTTCCTTTCCCCATATGTCCTTTTGATCTGACTTTGCCATCCCGACGGCTAACCCTTTGGAGAAGCCTCCAAGACCCACACCCGCGGCCTAGGTCGAAAAGTTGGCCAGAAACCTTCCGCAGCTGCGCGCAGGAGGGGCGGAGTCCACGCGGTTAGGTGGGTGGGCGGGGCTTCGAACAGGGGCCGCCGGAACGTGGCCGCGCCCATCGCCCTGGCCCCACCCCCGCCGGTGACGTCGAACAATGCCAGTGCCACGCAGTCCCGGAGAGGCAGGCAGGCAGTGAGAGAGCGAGCGCCCCTCTTTTTCCCCCCCGCAGCCAGCATGCGTGTCGCCCGGCGGCTCGGCCTCCTGTGCCTGCAGGCTCTGGCGCTCCTCTCCCTCCAGGCTCAGGGCCAGGAGGCCGCGGGGGGGCCCGGCGACGAGGCCGACCAAGTGCAGGTGGAGGTCTTGTACGTGCCCGAGCCCTGCGAGCCGAAGAGCAAGAAGGGCGACCTCGTCAATGCCCACTACGACGGGTACCTGGACGGCGGCAAGTCCAAGTTTTATTGCAGGTGAGAGGGGGGCCCTCCCTTGGCCGGAGGGTGAGCTCTTGGCCGAGAAAGCGACTTGATCGGAATTTTCTCTTCGTTTGTCTGTTTACTTAAATGGATGGATTGATTTTTAAATTGATATAAGTTGATTGGTTGATTTAAATGGATTGGTTTAAGTTGATTGATATAAGTTGATTGACTGATTGATTGATTTATATTGGTTTAAATTGATTGAGGAAACAATGTGGTTAACCCTGGAGGAAGGGCAAAGTCTTAGTGACTGGTGGCTTCCCATAATTGATCTTATCAGAACGGCAGAAAGTTGATTAAGCAGTTAGCACACCTGAAATGTTTTGTGTTGTAATCACAGTCTATATCACCCTATGCAATTTAGTTAGTATGCCGTTTGTAATCCTGAAGACGATGGGAGGTGTTTTCTTCTTCAAAACTTGATCTTTATTTTATTAAAGTTTTTACTTGGAAGGAAAACCCGTTAAGTTTTCTGAGCCAACTCAGTCTGTTTGACTGGGATTGGTGGTCTTTTCAAGAAAGCAGAAAGGTTTCCATGATTTATTTAAATTTATTTAGTTATCTAATGTCCTGCCCATCTCATCAAAGGCCACTTGAGGTGCTTTACAACAAAGACTACTCAACAAGCCAAACCTCTAACCCTAGCCAGTAATCAAAACATCAACCTTAGTAAAATCAAAGATAAATTAGGAAACATATGTACCTGTTGTGAATTACAGAGAGCAAGCCCTTAGTGAGTGCCTGGTTGGCTCAATTGGGAACTTGTGTGGCTTCTTTCCAAAGTGCCATGCGTGCTGTATTGGCTCTATTCTGGTTAGCAAGTTGAATAATCTGCAAGTCATGTTGCAGGGATGTCTGGCCTCCTAGGGATGGTTAGACTGCATCTCCCACCATCCTGGCCAGCTTAGCTGGGGATTGGAACCCAGCAGCACCTGATGGGCCACCTAATCCCCATTCTTCTAGTCCTGCTGGTTTCTCCTTAACTTACTCTACAAAAGCCAGTATCCCCTTGAGCTTCCAGTGAGTGTAGTTGCACAACCCATTATCTCTGTGAAAAAAAAATGGATTGCACAAATGGCTTGATCCAGCGCTTCTGTGTGGGCTGGTCATTCAGCTCTATGCAAGCTTAGTGGGATGCTGGCCAAAGCATGTGGGGCTCACATGTGTGTGATACTTACCGTCTTACTCTTTTGAAAGCACAGGTGCTTTTAGTAGCATACATACAGTATTTGATAGCATACACAGGTTTGTGTATTTTACACCATTCACATATACAGTACGTATATCACAAGTGAGTATACCCCCTCACATTTCATAAATATTTTAGTACATCTTTTATGTGGCAACATTGAAGAAATGACACTTGGCTACAATGCAAAGCAGTGACTATACAGCTTGTATAACACTGTAAATGTGCTGTCCTCTCAAAATAACGCAACACACAGCCATTAATGTCTAAACCACTGGCAACCAAACTGAGTACTCCCCTAAGTGACAATATCCAAATTGGGCACAAAGTCAATATTTTGTGTGGCCACCATTATTTTCCAGCACTGCTTTAACCCTCTTGGGCATAGAGTTCACCAGAGTTTCACAGGTTGCCACTGGAGTCCTCTTCTACTCCCCCATGATAACATCACAGAGCTGGTGGATATTAGCGACCTTGTGCACCTCCACTTTCCGTATCAGGATGCCCCACAGATGGTCAATAGGGTTCGTTTGTTTGTTTGATTGATTATTGAATGTGTATCCTGCCCATTTAGTCAACCGACTACTCTGGGTGGATAACAATATATAAATAAACAATTTAAAATATAGAAAGAAAGTAATACATCAATAGACAGGAACTCAAGATAGAAGAGCAAAATAGATCAAGAAGTGGCTGGAGGGTAGGCTTACCTAAATAGCCAAGTTTTCAGTTGGCCTTTGAAGAGGCCCAGCGAAGGGGCCATATGTATCTCAGAAGGGAGGTTACTCGAAAGGCAAGGAGCCACTGCCGAGAACGCCCGGTTTCTTGTTTTTTTCTTTCGGGCCTCCCTTGGTGTTGGGCTCCTCAGCCTCACCTCCTGGCTAGATCGAGTGATACGAGTAGATTTAGGCGGGAGGAGGCGTTCCGTCAGGGATCGAGGCACTAAACTGTTTAGGGCTTTATACGTAAGCATTAGAACTTTGAAATCAATGCGGAACTGAATGGATAGCCAATGTAAGGCGGCCAGAGTGGGGGAGATATGATAATGTTTCCTCACCCCACTAAGAAGTCTGGTCGCCGCATTCTGCACCATTTGGAGTTTCCGCATTGATCTCAAAGGTAGCCCCACATAGAGAGCATTACAGTGGTCTAACATCGAGATTACGAGTGCATAGACCAGAGTGGTGAGTGACCCCCCCCCCATCCACCTAGGATTCCATGGTAAGCACCTGGTCCAGATGAATCCCCAAGCTGTGAACCTCACTCTTCGCGGTGAGAGTCACCCCCCCTCAAAAGAGAGGGAGTTTCCCAAACCGCTGGTGGTAGGTCCACCCACCCTCAGGACCTCCATCTTGTCCGGGTTCAGCCTCAGCCCATTTGTTTAGGTCTGAAGACATGCTTGGCCAGTCCATCACCTTTACCCTCAGCTGCTTTAGCAAGGCAGTGGTCGTTTTTGAGGTGTGTTTGGGGTCGTTGTAATATTGGAATACGTACCACCCTGCAGCTCAGTCTCCGAAGGGAGGGGATCATGCTCTGCTTCAGTATGTCACAGTACACGTTGCCATTCGTGGTTATCTCAGTGAACTGTAGCTCCTCGGTGCCAGCAGCACTCATGCAGCCATGATACTCCCACTGCCATGCTTGACTTTAGGCATGACACACTTGTCTTTGTACTCCTCACCTGGTTGCCACCACACACACTTGACACCATCTGAACTAAATAAGTTTATCTTGGTCTCATCAGACCACAGGACATGGTTCCAGAAATCCATATCCTTAGTCTGCTTGTCTGCAGTAAACTGTATGCAGGCTTTCTTGTGCATTATCTTTACAAGAGGCTTCCTTCTGGGTCAACAGCCCTGGAGACCAATTTGATGCAGTGTGTGGCGTATGGTCTGAGCACTGACAGGCTGACTCCCCACCCCTTCAGCCTCTGCAGCAATGTTGGCAGTGTTCTATTTCCCAAAGCCAGCCTCTGGATATAACACTGAGCACGGGCACTCAACTTCCTTGGTCAACGATGGCAAGGCCTGTTCTAAGTGGAACCTGTCCTGTTAAACCGTTGTATGGTCTTGGCCACAGTGCTGCAACTCAGTTTCAGGGTTTTGGCAATCTTCTTATAGCCTAGGCCATCTTTATATAGACTTCTGGTTTTTTTTCAGATCCTGAGATAGTTCATGACCATGAGGTGCCATGTGAAACTTCCAGTGACCAGTCTGAGAGAGTGAGAGTAATAACACCTGCTCTCCCTTCACACCTGAGACTTGTGACACTAATGGGTCTCATGACACGGGGGGGGGGGGGAATGGCTACTTGAGCCCAACTTGGACATTGTCACTTAGGGGTGTACTCATTTTTGTTGCCAGCGGTTTAGATATTAATGGCTGTGTGTTGCGTTATTTTGAGGGGATAGCAAATGTACTGTACACTGTTATACAAGCTGTATACTCACTGCTTTACATTGTAGCCAAGTCTCATTTCTTCAGTATTGTCACATTAAAAGATGTACTAAAATATTTATGAAATATGAGGCGGTGTACTCATTTCTGTGATACACTGTATATCCTGCAAGAATCTGTGCATATACCTATCCCGTACTCTGATGTAGTTTGTAGGTTTCCAGATGCATTTTCTAGGAACCTCGTCTCTTGCAGTGTTCAGAGTCCTTCTCATCCATCATGATCAAATTGATCCTGAATTTATATCTCCTTCCTTTTGACAACGCCCATGGGAGGAATGACTGCATCGCATTTGGGGTGGGTGGGTGCTGAGCCAAGCCACTGCAGGGGAAAGCAAGATGGGTGTTTGTTTTTTGTTTGCTTGTTTGTATTTTGCTCTTGGGCTGTGTACACCGGAGTGACTTTTCTCTCTCTCTCTCTCTCTCTCTCTCTCTCTTTATTTATTTTTGCGCTGAAAGTCTGTTACTGTATTGCTAGAGTCCCTGGGTTGTGCATAACTGTAATTCTTTGTCCTTTAAAATTATAAACTGCTTTTAAGAGCAAGTCTATCCAGTGATGTGTGTAAAAAAGAACCACAATACAACAATGATCAAAATAGTTTCAAGATTAAAAGGTCTAAATCAGCAATTAAAATGTGAATGGGTTTGTATGGTGAGTGCAACCTTTTGAGAAACCCAGATCCAAACCATTTAGGGCTCATACCAACAAAATGTAAACTGTACTAGAAGACTCGATGGTTCAACATACCAAAGACTCTCCCCCACACCAACCATCCCAGCTTCAGGGCTGCATAGAGTAGAGTTAGTTTCATCCTTGCAATACAAAAGGAATCTGTGGTGTTTGTAAGCATCAAAGTGGTGTACTAGTCAGTGTGATATTCAGGGGGAGTGCCTGTTAAAAGCACTGATCAGTGTTTGCCAGTATTCGTGCTACGCTTGTACACGTATACGTGTGTGAAATTTGTGTCTTCAAGTATAACAATCTAATTTTATATGTCTTTTGTTGTTTTTATTTGTAGCCGAACACAAAATGACGGCCACCCAAAATGGTTTGTCCTTGGTGTTGGACAAGTAATTAAAGGCTTAGATATTGCAATGCTGAATATGTGTCCTGGGGAAAAACGGAAGGTGATCATTCCTCCTTCGCTAGCCTACGGAAAGCAGGGATATGGTAAAACAAGGACGACAGCTGTTCTCTTTGGTTTCTTGTCATTTCATTTAAATTGCAGTGAAAAGAATGTTGAATATCATTGTCATCCCCCCTTTTTTTAGTTCTTAGAAACCAGTACAGTACTAAAATTTTCTGATTTTTCTTGTTAATATGAATTAGCTATTATGTGTGTTTCTTTCTTCAGATTACTTAATTATTAGCCCTTTGCAATGGTAGCAGCACTGATTAATTGCTGCTTGCATTCCATCTTGGTTTTGTTGTGTTTATTTTTGTTATTAATATTGGCACATTAACAACGAAGGGACGAAAACACATTGTTCTTGCCTTTGAAGTAAAATGCCATTGATATGTCTTATAAAAAAATGAAAGAACAAGTTTCAGCTTGCAAAAGCTTACAATCTAAAAAAAATGGCACAGGGAAAATAACAGAAAAGGCAAGTGGAAACAGGGAATTAAGGGGGAAATACATGGTGGTTTCAGTTATCTGTCCTTAGGTTTAAGGATAGCAGGCCAAGCTGTAGGAATCTACAGTCCTCAAATTGTACTGATAAACAATCCGAATACCCATAGGTTACAGCACTGTTCTCATGGCTCTCTTCACCACTTCCAGTTGGAGGTAGGCCAGAGTTTGGAAAAGTTCTTTTTTGGACTGTAGCTCCCAGAAATCCAAGCCATCATGTTCTTCCTGATCCTTCTTGTGAACACGAGGTACTCAGAAGTGCAGGAAGTGGCACCAGACTGTGCATCTCCGTTGCCCTCCACGCACCTACGGTAAAGCTCTGCTTGGTGCATACCTGAAGAGAGAGCAGATGGTGCCTGAACATCTGGTCACCTGATCCTCAGATTCAGTGCAGCTGTCAAGCCACAGACGGTAGCCAGAGTGCTGCCAGTGCTGCGCCCCTTGATTTGTCTTAAAATCCCCACCACTCCTGATAACACAGTGCATAAGAGTAGTAAAACGCCATCATTTCTCACCTGCTTTCCTGGTTCAACCTTTCTTGTCATAACGGGGAGCAACATGAGGAAACATCAAGTAATCCAGGACTGGGGAACTTGCAGCCCTCCCGTGTTGTTGAACTCTGAATCCCATCAGCCCCGGCCAGCTTTGAAAGTGGTGAGAGATCATGGGAGTTAATCAGCATTGGATAACATAGGGTTCCTCTGCTGTTTTGGTGCGAGAAATGATCTATGGTCAGTTGCAGCCTTGAAATAAGGCCCTAAACTGCCAGTCTGAGCTGCCATCAGTAGTATTTGAATTTGTACACAAAATCCTTACCAGATCAGTTAGGAAAGTACTGTATCTTTAATAGCTTATGTCCAGTGGTAAAAAAATACAGTTTTCTTGAGTATTTAAGTATTTTGCAATTAAGTACAAATGAGGTACCTAGAAAGAGTGAACAAGCATTGCATGTTTAATGAACATTAACTATCAATGTTTATTTTAGGGTGCAATTGAAGGAGGTCTTTTCCCGCTGCTGTAACACACTTGTTCTCTGTCAGAGCATAGTCCTGCATGTTGGGCAAGATGGCACTTGTTCTGAATGTCAAGAGTGCATGTGGCTTTCTAGAACTTTCCAGGGGGTTTCCTGTGGTATGTATTGTTCTCGGAGATACTAGCACCTGAATCCTTTATTTTCACTTGGCTCTTAGATTTAGAAACTCAGCACTCACAAAATACATGCTGCTTCTGCTCCTGCTGCATGGGGGGGGTGTCTCCTTTTCTTTTACGAAACAATTTTTAAAAGCAGTTCTTTAAACCAGGATTGTAAAATGGGTTAGCATGTTAGGCACATCTCTCTGGTTTCACAGTACATGATTTCCTGTAGTGTAGGATGGCACAGCCCATGGCCACAGACATCCCTTAATGTGTGCTTTTGGGGGTTTTTTTTGGGGGGGGGTTGCCTCCATGCTGCTATTGCCCAATTTTAGAAAATAGAAAGAAACTGCCATTTCTCGACCCTGTGGTTCTGTTGAGCCCTTCCCTCACCCCATCTTACTGATCTTGATTACTGTTAAGGATTCAGATATATAGGGATTGAGATCCTGCCAAATTATCCATATCTCCGCTCTCTAGTTGCTGTCTTTCACGCTTTTACTCTTCCCATCGTTGCTAATCGTAAACCTCTTTCCCCTGCCAACCAACTCTGAGGCATTGTAGTCACTTGTCGGAGTGCCCTGTGCCAAAGAAAGGTTTAAACTTGTGGAAGAGAGGAGGAGACAGCACAGAAAAAAAGATGGCACTTGAATGAAACTTTGAGGAGATTGTCCATACCTGGCAAATGAATGAACCCAGTGAAGGGAGAAAGGAAGGAAATCATTTGAAGGGAGGGAGTTGAGTGAGGAGGAAGGAAGATTAGTGTGCGCATACATACACATGTGTGACCTCTGTCCTTCTCTTGAGCTGAGACCCAGCCAAGCCCTTGGGGCCAAAAAGGTTGAATTAGTGGGTCCATAGTGTGTGAGACTCAGATCCCAGCGGTGTCTGGGATGGTTGCAACTGTTTTAATTATCAATGTCTCTATTGAATGGAAGCCCAAGCCCTTTCAATGCAAAGTGAGAACAATAATGGACCATTACTGGAGCAGAGCTACTTCTCCCCCAAATTTGGGGCAAAGTGTCTGTCCCTTGCTGGGGCCCAGCTGTCCCCTGGCTGGAGAGATCCTGATGATCCAGCTGCTCTCTCTTTGTTATTCTGTGGTGGATGTGTGTGAGACCTCCATAGGAGAACATTGCCTGTGATTCAGACTCTGCAAACAGCTGACAATTACCAGTTTGGCCATTGTAAATGCCCTTATGTGACTTTTGCATCCCTCTACTGTATTTAGGAAGACTATTGTCATTTTAGCTTTCAGTGCAGCATATCAAAGCTCAAAAATAAATCCCAGGAGGGTTACCTGTGCTTATTGCCGTGTCCAGTCATCTATAATGGCTGTCAGTGGCTCTCTGGGCTCCTAAAATCACAAAACTTGTCAGTCGTGTCCAAAGAAATGGTAAACCTATTTGTATACAAATGCCATTGTTTCCCACTAAACTTCATTCCTTACCTGCCATAATTTTAGACCTGGACCTCTTACATGAGTTCCCATACAAAGTTGATCAGCTCAGTAGCTGCATGTGCACGGCTTGCCACGTATTTTCTTTGGGCTGATTTTAGAAGCTCAGTTTTTGATTACAGGTAGTTTTCTGCTGCTTTTAATACTCCTGCTTTCTCAAAGGCTGCTATTAACAGTTGTGTGTCCTTTGGATACTAGAAAATATTAGAGCATTCTGAATGTGGATGTTTCTTATGGCCTATTCCCATCTTTGAAATTTGTTTTGTCACTGAAATGTTGACCCTACGTTACCCTGTAGGCCAATTTCAATTTTTTTTTTTTAAAAAAAAGTGATTGACAGGCCCAATTGATTAGTCCTTCCTTGTTCTCGAGGAGTTTTCAGACAGAGCCACAGAGTGGCGAAAGGTCGATCCAGACAACCATGGCCTAGCCAGTATATTGAGAGCGCTGCTGACCATGTCAGGTGACCAGTCTTTCTGGTCAGCTCACAATTTTAAAACGGTGGCCTCTGGTTGAAGGCGTGATCAGGTTTATAAGGAAGTTTCCAAGAATCATGGTACAAAATCAGAGCCGCTGTTTTTGTGAATGGATGGGATATCTGGTAACATGCCTAAAGTGCAGTCCACCTGGAAATTTTGCTACATAGCTTTATTAAGTGCTCGTTCTTTCTCAACTCCTAAGAAATTTTAGAGGGCTGTGCGCTGGCAATGTCTTCACTATATTGTGCTCCTAATAATAAGGATTCAGAGTGGATAAAAAAAGGAAATTCCTGCTGTATTTTAAAATCAAATATATCTGACACAGAAAACTTTGTGTCTAACATTAGGAAGTAATTCTTGATGATTCAACAGTGGAATGGTCAGCCATAGACGTTTACAACCATCTGGCCATCTGTCAAGGATGCTTTAAGTGTGGAGTTCCTACTTTGGCTGGATGTGTTGGATTTAACTCCTGTGGCATCCGGCTGTATCATCTACAAGAATCCATATCTGTTAGAACATTGCTAAATAGCCATAGATATATGTGCCATCTGGATTTAAGATAGCCTGTTATCAGAGTGTGTAGTTACTAAAATTCTCTTGTTACGTTACTAGAACCAGCAAAGATACCACCTAATGCAACGTTGATCTTCGAAATTGAACTATATGCAGTTACTAAAGGACCACGCAGCGTTGAAGCATTTTCTCAGATTGACATGGATAGTGACAAAAAACTTTCAAGAGATGAGGTAACATTAGCACTCTGAAGCACATTATTACAGTAGCTGTTTATTTCACCTATCCTCCTTTGCTTATAAACTGTTTATAATATTTTTTTTAATTTACAATTGTGGCAAAATTGAATGAAAGGGCTTACTTTTTTTACAAACTATTGCATCATATGTTAAAACTGAACTCTCAGGGTAAAAATAGATGAGATAACAACTTCATAATTAGAAGTGGACCTGCCTTGGAAAGTAAAGGGCATTTGATTATCGTCCAGCATTGCTTCACAGCTTCACCACTTGCGAAAAGCGTCCAGTTATTTAGTGATTGGCCTTTGGAAGGCGTATACCAGGCTTCGTTTAATTGTGCTTATTATACAATCATGGCAGCTGTGCAAAATGGCACTCGTAAGTGAAAACATGTCTCCTCTACAGCTGCTCTCCCTTTTTTGGTTCACCTGTATCATCACCAGTTGAACTGACATTTTGATATAGTGTGTGAACACCACTGCTGTCTCTTGTGATATCTTCAGAAGAGCAGCTCGCACCTTTTCAAAATCTCATTTGCCAACCACTATGAAATGTGAAAGATCAACTTCCCTACTACAGCAGTGAAGAGTATTTGGTCCTCCAAATGTTTTTGTATGTCAGCTCTCAGAACTAGTTTGGGATTATGGCAAGAGATTATAGGAGTTGCAATGTGAAACATTTGGAGGGCCGAAACCTCACCTCCCCTGCTTTATTTGAATGTGTTGCCTTGGACCCACCACTTCTTGCCTGAAACTCAGCATCACTCCCTTCTCCAGAGAGAGATCCACACTATGCCATTAGAAGAGGTTTGGTTCCATTTTCCCTGCCATGGCTCCATATTGGGGCTTGTCCTTTCAGAAGGAATTTAGAGCCCTCTGCGCTCTATTGCACTTTGTGAAGTTGTAAGAATTGGGACAAGTCATTTGTTGGATTTTTAATTTAATTTAATTTTAAAAAAAAACTCTTCCAACTCTTCTCCAAGGCATTTCCCAGGCAGAATTGCAGGCCACAGACACCCGGAGCCAGACCTGTCTTGCAGACTGACTATCTCGGGTCTACTGTTATTAATGTCCAAAAAAAGAAACTCCCACCATGTTTCTTTGGAATGCCTAGGTCTTCTTTGGAGGCGCCTGGCCATTGAGCTTAATGGGCAGTGAGGCTGCTGTTCCCATGAAGATAAAGGCCTTCCGGGAAGCACCAGGCCAGTTTCCCCTTGGTACATTAACAACAGTAGGCCCCAGATAACCAAGGAGCCTGGAAGATAGGTGGGTGGATAAAATGTAGATACATCTGGATTTGCGTCTGTGGTTCGAAACTCCCAGGCTTCTTCCTGGGGAACTCTTGGGAAATTCTGGGAGATGAATAAAATAAAAAGAATTCTCCGTCTCGGTTAAGCTGCCTCACCAAACTACATATCCCAGAATTCATAGCTGTTAAAGTGGAATTACCTGTGTAGGGTATCTGCACTCTGAGATTCCCTGGCAGACATGGGCAGCCCTTAGAAGACACAGTTGGTAGATTTCCAGCACTGCCACACTTGGACAACTCTTTTCTTTCCCAAGTGCCTTCTTTTCCTATGGGGATACCTGAACTTATTTTGCTTTTGAGGGTGGTGAGGAAGATAAAATGGCTGCTCTTTGGATGAGTGCCAAAAGCTGTCAGAGAAAGGGTCCCCAGGGGGCCCGGCGGTATTCTTCCCTTCTGTCCCCACCACCACCACCAAGTCTGCTTCAAATGGCAGGCATGTTGCTTGATTACAGAAGAATAACCAAGTTGGCGATTAATCCTGGTACTTTTTAAAATTATTGTTATTCCTTCAGATAAACCATTATTTGAAGAAGGAATTTGAAAGAGATGGGAAGAAACGAGACCCCTCGGTACATGAAGATGTTTTGGCGGATATATTTAAAAAGAACGACCACGATGGAGACGGCTTCATCTCTGCAAGGGAATACAACGTCTACCAACATGATGAGCTATGATCTAATAGGCCCAAGACGGCTGCGCGTTGCTTTACGGATGCTAGTGTCCTGACGCAGCAATTCCTCCCGTACACACGTGGCGCTTCCCCCCCCAAAGGACCCCTCCAGGCATCACTTGAGCAATGTAGCTGCGCTCACAGCATGGCCTACATTTTGAAGCCGGAATAGGAAAGACGGCTTGCAGTTGATGCGACCTAGCTGGTTGGCCATGGGTCTGGCCCCTGAGACTTTAGATTGTGACCTAGGCTGATAGCAGTCAAAAGTGGAAGCTCTTTTGTGGCACATAACATTTTGTATACGACAGCGGTGTTAAATTTTTATACTTTTAAATTCAATATTAAAATTGATTACATTCCACTAATCATGTCTGATAAACTGTAAAAGAGATAAAAAGGTGGAAGAGAGGCGTAGACTGTGTGCTTTATTATCTGTATAGAACAACGGGTGCTGAATGTTCCACATTAGGTTGGGAGGCCTCACTAGGATCGTAATAAAAGAGTAATTTTCTGCTGTGCCGGATGCAGAACAATGTGGTTGCCAGTGCTTCAACCCTAAATCGCTTTTCTAATAGGATATAAAATGCAGCAAAAGAAATGTTGAAGAGAGAAGGGGATGCTTAATCCTTTCCCTATATGCTGCTTATTTGTTCCCAGTAACTCTCCTGGCATTCCCCACCACGCGAGGGTTGAAAAGCCCTTTGAACTTCAGGGAAAGGCAGCGGGAGAAATACAGCGTCTGCACTGCTGGATTAGGATTTGGAGGAAAATAAATGGTGAGCAGCTCCAGCTGCTTGAATATTTTTTTAAAAAAATGCATTCAGGCTCCCTTACACTGGTTTCCACATAAGGGCACAGCTCCAGTAGGCCTAGTTGAATCAGTGGAACTTAAAGAGGAGGACTTTGCAAATCCCCATTGATTCAAGGGGCCTACTGTAGTTGTGACTTACTGCTGGAGTAAAAAAAAAATGCATTCAGGCTCACTTATGCTGGTTTCCACATAGCTCCAGTAGGCTATTTGAATCAGTGGAACTTAGAGAGGAGGACTCTGCAAATCCCTATTGATTCAAGGGGCCTACTGCTGGATTTCAGCCAGCATAGAGCTAGCCCTACAACCACTTTACCATTCTCACTTAGATAAAGGCTTTGATAATTGTAGTGTCCCAGGATATTTTATGAGCTTCCTGCTGGTCTGTAAGACACCCAGTAAAGATCTGCTGTAGTTCTTTGGAGAGTGCTAACATCATCGTGGTCACCTAAACTTTAGGGAGCAGTAAAAAGATTATAATCAGGGGCATGTCAGTATGCAAGTGGGGGTCATCCCAATCCTGACCTTTCATTTCCAGTTCCCCTGTTCCCCTTGCAGCTGGAGGGTGACACTCTGAACTGAAAGGCCTCTGCTGTCTAGAACTGGTTCCACCTTTAAATGGAGAGGAGATAACAGGGGCTCTCAAGTTCAGATCAAAATCTTGCTCAGCATGTGTAGGAGAGCTATGGAAGTGATAAGCGCTGAACAAGACTGGTGCGTTTTCCTACTCTGTCTTGGTGCAACACATAACACTCCTGAATAAGGCTTATTTGGCAATTGCAGCTATTGCTTCATGAAAGTTCATGGGGTTGTAAAGAGTGCCAGGCAAAAATAGATGAATATAACTGCCTTTTCAAATACATTGGTATCTGTACCCCTTCATTTATGTATAGACCTGCAATACAGGTTCCCAAATCTTGGCAGGAGGCCCTCCTTTTTTAGTTTTTGAGAAAACCTCATTATCCAAAGTTCTTTATCACCAACCCCCAATTTTTAAAATTCATCATTGAAAACTGAAAGCCAGCACAAAAATATACTAAAATAATTTCCTATTTAAAATCAGCACACATGGCAGCAGGGGTTTGTCCCCAAAATTTAAAAACTGCAACAAATGTAATCTTAGAACTGCAGAACTGGAAGGGACCCCCACAGAATCATGTTTTATTTATTAAAGCAGCCCAATACATTTCGGACCCCAGATAATTTTATTGCCTTTTTCGGGGGTTGGGGAAGGGACAATGGCACTATTACAATCCAATCATTGCAATCATATATAGAATACGTTGACAAAATAAAAGAATTTCAACAGCAACCATTCTCAAACTTGGAAGTCTGATCAATGAAAGTACACATTGCAAATGTGTTCTCCAAATAATCATTCAGTGAGGTGGAGAAAAAAGTAACATGGGCATTTATGAGTGTTAAAGTGTGCTATTAATGTCTTTAATTTATATGCCACCTTTGTCAGTTTGAAAGCAGACTTCTCCAATAGCTAAAAATGCCCCTGTAATGGGACCACATGGTCAAATCTGCTGCTTCTGTGGTTTTTATGTCAGACAATACTTAAACTTCCTGCACTGATGCCTGCATGAAAATCTCCTGCTAGTTTCTGAGATGGTTGAGTGCTCTGAAGGAAGCCAATTTAACCAAGATCCAGCTATTGATGCTTTCATCCTTGTGTAGAGGATTCTTCAATATTAAAATGCCCATTGAGATGACAGATTTGTGGGGGTGAAGGAAATAGTAGACCGTAACCAAAGCAGTCTTGAGGATTCCTAGTTGCAGAACAAATGCTACTGAAATGTATTCCTGGTAGAAGAAGTTTAAAATCCTAGGAATGCGTTATCTGGATTGGAAGTCTGTCTTAAATTCATGGGATTTCCCTCCAACTGTGTGTGCTTATAACAGAAGTGTATACTTTGCATCTTAGTCTTCCACTACTTCACTTTTGTGCTGTCTCTTAGCCAGCAAATCTGAGCAGAATATCACAATCCACATGGTGCTTTCTGGATAGGAAGGTGCAATTATGTTCAGAAAGAGCCAGTTCTCCAGAAGACAAGGAGCAAGTACTGTAATGCTGATGGTGGGTGGGGGTGGGAGACATGAAAACAAATGGGATGGCACTCAGAGGCAACAGCCAACTACATCCTGCTCTCAGTTTCTTTCTCCCCACACAGATCAGCCAGCTCTGCCCCAAGAAAAAGCTTGATTCCTCTCTACCTCTGCCTTTTTTTTTTACACAACCAAGTCCCCATCGGCTCTTCTCTGACCTCTCCTTCACCCTTTTTTCACTTGTCTTTTCTCCTATATCTCCCATGTTTACCTCTCCTGGTTTCCTAAATCTCGTGTGCAACACTTGGCTTCGAAGAGGAAGCAATGCACTGATTCTCAAGCACTTTTAACATTTCCATGACAAGTCTAGCTAATTCCCCTCAAACAGCCAAGATCAGGTATTATAATTTTCTTGAATGAGACATTTTCAGTGTCAATCCACTAACAAAGACAAAAATCCAGCACAGAGAACCACAGGAGACTATTTTTAAAAGGGTGTCCTGCATGTTTTTCAAAGAGTTGGTTTCAAAGACAGGTTGGCTTGCAAAGGAGGTAAGAGAAGCTTCCCCTGTTAAAATCTGAGATCAGAAACAATGAAAGGTAGATTTTATAACCTACCTTTAAAAAGCTAAAACAATCCAGAAAAACTTTTTTTTCCCATAGTGTCACCCAAGTTTTTCAACGAATGTCAAATATAGCTGATTCCCCGGTGAGATTGGGACTGGAGCCAGGTTCCCACCAAGTGTCAAGATCTGCTAGCATTCATTTGCTTCCCTACAGGATGTCACCAAAGTTGTTCAAAGAGTTTGTGTCAAAGACAGCTGACTGCAACCTGACATTAAGACTGGAGCCAGCTTCCCTGCCCTGTGGGGAAACCCTAAATGGTCAACTGATGGCACTGATCTCCTTCCCCTCCAAAAAAAGAAGCAAGAGGGGCTAGACTTTCTTAAGCTGCAACTTGTGATCTTTTCATGAGCTGTAATTGAAGGCACCAGTATATTTTACTGTGCCATACAATACTGACACTAAGTAGCTAAAAATCCTCGCAGCAGCAACAACAATGTACACATGGCAAACTGAACAACAACAGAAAGAACAGCATGCAAAACTATTGCCTGTAATTCCTATGACCAAGAACACAATGTGCATGTCAAAGAAAACAGCAATACCATCCATGCCGTCCTTACAGTGGAGCAAATGTCACTGTGATGATCCCACAGTCACTCTAATCTTGTCGATTTAAGACAACACAACATCGGCCTGTTCCATCAAGGATGGCTTGCCCAAAATGGGAATATCTGCTTTTGACTTGCACTTGACTTGTACTGTCCTTAGCTAAAGGTGTTGGTGAAACACTGTTCATTGTTTAATGATCTGTTGTAGTCAAAGCCTCATGGGCCAAATTTTGTGTTCTTAAATGCCCACCCAAGTAAGCACTTGTAGAAGATTTAGGTGGTATAATGGCAACAAGATGTTTCAATCTCTAACCACTGACTGTGCCAGCTGTGGTTTAGGGAAAGAATCTGGTGCTTTGCTGAAGACTTTTCCATTACTGTTGCTCTACTGTGCTGTCACATCAGAACCGACTTATAAGGACCATAATAGGGTGAGATATTTAAGGAACAATTGTACCAGTTCCAATCCCCCAGTCACTTTCCATGGCCAAGTGGGGAATCTAACCCCGGTCTCGAGTCCTAGTTCATCATGCTATCTACTACACCACACTGGGTATCTATTATTTTTTGGGACTACCCACTTTGAAAATTCAGAAAATTGAGTTTGCCAGGTAGTTTTCACTAATGTGTGCAATGGTCATGTTTGTGCTTTTGGGAACTCTGAAACGCTTGATGTACAGTGGTGCCTTGCTTTACAATTGCAAAACGCTTGATGTATGTTGCAATTGCAACCTCTGCTTTAAAGTTCTTGCTTTGTTTTTGTGATACAGTGCATGCAGTGGGATTTGGGGGTGATTGATTTTTATATTATGCAAAGTTTTTATACCCAGGTTTCCCAAAAATAAGATCTAACCTGAAAATCAAAATGGCCGCCGGGTAATTAAAATGGCTCCCTGCTGTGTTTAGGGATGGATTCCTCGCTATACAGGCAGCGAAATGGAGGATCTTCGCTGGACGGTGAGTTTTTACCCCATTGGAACACATTGAACAGGTTTCAATGCATTTCAATGGGGTTTTTATTTTTGCTTTACGATGTTTTCACTTAACGGCAATTTTCCTGGAACAGATTATTGCCATTAAGCGAGGCACCACTCTATATTGCAATTGCAACCTTTGCTTTAAAGTTCTTGCTTTGTTTTTGTGGTACTCTTGATACAGTACATGCAGTGGGATTTGGGGGTGATTGATTTTTATATTATGCAAACAGTTTTATACCCAGTTTTCCCGAAAATGAAATCTAACCTGAAAATAAGCCCTAGTATGATTTTTCAGGATGCTCGTAATATAAGCCCTAGCCCTACCCCCAAAATAAGCCCTAGTTAAGTGAAGCCCCACCCTCCACCGTTGTGCAGCAACCAGAAGATGACATGACTGTATTTGAATAAATGTAGGGTGTACATTAAAAAAATAAAATGTCTCCTGAAAATAAGCCCTAATGCATTTTTGGAGCAAAAATTAATATAAGACCCTGTCTTATTTCTGGGGAAACAGGGCAGAGCAACTAACAAACTGAATGAATAACAAAATTATGCACAGAGAAAGAGAGATAGTGGAGGACGAGAGACACAGACACACAGAGGAATGCCTACAGAGAATAAGCTGCTTAGTCCCTTCTATTTTTACAGATGCACTGACAAATAAATATTTAGCAAGATTTCTAGAAGGCTCCAGCCCTGCCAATTTTAACGTGCATTTTTAAATGCAGCAGTAGACAGTGCCACCTAATGGCTATGCCTCAGTGATATTACATTGTAAACAAACTACTTTGGTCTTGCAATTAGATAAAAAGGAGTATCAGTTTATTTACCAAAATGCAATGACTTTATTTTAAAATACATTCCAAAAAATAAAAAATAATAAAAGTAACAAGCCTTAACATTTTAAAAAGCAACTGAATTTAGCTGTTTTAATGATAAATACAGATAATATGTAAAAGAGATGTAATTGGGGAGATTAAAGTCAAACAAAACGTTTATGTTGCACTAATATCTAGGTTTTATTTCTCTGTTTAAATGTATCTTTAACCAGAGCAAACTCAAACATGAGCTTAATCTGATACTTAAATCAAATATTTATATTACTATTAAATAATGCACATATACTTTCTTACAATCTTTGCCATAGTGCAGTTAAGGTAAAACACATTTTTTAAAGGAAAAATTATTTCCAAGTTACACCTGCAAATTCCAAATTATGCCTACATTACTTCAATGTAAACCCTTTTTGCTTGTTTTTTTAAAATGGTATTTTAAAATGCTAACTTGAAAGTGTATTTCATATTTAGCTACTAATGATGCAGTTGGAAAAAATTATTCAACATATTTTGAAAGTGATCCTAAGAAGATACAGCTTTCTATTTCAGAAGAAAACACAAAAAGGAGATAAAACCATTTGGAGCCTCCTTATTTTCTGCTTCTGTCATCACAGCTCACAAAGCATTCTATGGCACAACGTTAAAGATATCTAAAGATGCCTAAACTAAATGTAGCATTAGATCCAGTTTGCAAGTTGCATTTGGGGTCTCACTGAAATCAACATGAAAAGGTCAGCTTAATTCCACTGAGTTCACGGAGAACTAACATAATTGGATCTTGCTGTTTGGCATGTATGGGTCACTTTGTTTTTTCACTTCAGCCTCTTGTGCCATAGATCAAAACAAGGCACAGCATGTAGTCGCACAAATGTCTGTCCGTTAAAAGAACACTCAAGGCAACCGTAGACGGTTTCTCTCCGGGAACTGCCCATTCCACACAGGGAACAAGGACCTTTGGGGATGTTGTTATTAAGCAAATTCACTCGTATATGAGCCCCTTCTCGGAAATAGCTTGCAGAGACGTCAGTCACGCTTGCAGCTTTTTCGTAGTAGTCTGCAAAAAGGTCATCTAAGTAATTATCCGGGTGAGCAATGATGTCCATTACCCTTTTGTCTGTCAAAAAAGAAGGAAAGAAAGAAAGATTGCTTAGTTCTAAGGAATCTGCTCAATGAAAGAAACAGAAATTGGGTTTTCTGTCCAGAGTCTACAGTAATCATTAGGACTTAATGTGCTATTACCTCGCTGTGAGCTGTACAAGCTACTAGCAGTTTGTACCACTTACCAATATTTAACATCTGCCCAAGATATCTATTGCCATTAATTTTTAGGATTCAGTAATTGTAACAGTAAGTTTTAACTCTTGTTTTCCATCAAGTAGGGATTCATAAATTGTCTTATCAAGTGTGCACCTGCAAATCTGTCCTTCAAGAAAATGTGGGCAGTGGCACACTCACAAAGCAAATATGGTTGGTTCATACCTCATGATACTAATAGGGCTCTCAAGAGAAGTGAAATATTTAATAAGTGGATTTGCCTGTTCTGCTCCCCCATCAGTTTCCATGGCTTAGTGGAGATTTGAACCCAGGCCTCCTGAGTCCTGGCTCGACACTCTGTCCACTACACAATATGAGATATCTGCTAACATTTAAAAAATCATAATTCTCTCAAAGCCTTCTGTTTATGCTATCAATTAGATTCAGAATTTTATTCTACCAGCTGAAAACTCCGACAGAGCTCTAATCACAATGGTCCCATTGGCAAAGAGAGGTACTTAAAAAACAAAAACAAAGCGACACATTCATCGGACTCCAGCCGTGGCCGGCAGCACACATACACTCACTTTTCCAAAAGCCTTTCAACTTACCTAAACACATTTTAAAGGGACAGCTGAGCAGGTCCGGATTAAGTCCTTTAGAGCAGGGGTCCACAACCCCTGGTCCGCAGACTGGTTCCAGTCCGTGGCCTTGCCAGGACCGGGCCACAGAGACAAATCTCCTGCCCCTCCCCCCATGCAGTTGCATGCACAGCCTCTCCCACGCATGCATGTCCCCTCCCACGCATACACAGCCCCTCCCACACACACACGACTCCTCCTAAGTATGCATGGTCCCTCCCACGACCCCTCCCATGAACACACGGCCCCTCCCACACATGCCAGACCCCCCCCCGCACGCTAAACTGGTCAGTGGAGGCAAAAATGTTGGGGACCACTGCTTTAGAGGCCTTAAGTACTGAAAAGATTATGGTGCCCCCTATGAATACAACAAGCAGCAGGTCCCATGGCTTGAAAGAAAAACATGTAATGCACACATTACAGGCATGAAAATTCAGCAACTGAATTGTATAGCATGTGACAAAAAAGAGTCATTTATTATATGCAAAATCATATGTACAGTCAAATTACCGGTTTTCAGCCAAATCTTGCCCTTTAACACTTTGATTAATGTAAACAGATTTTTGTCAGAATCTGTAAACTGAAAAGCTCAAGCACGAGCTTAAAAACCCTCTTTGGAGAGGTTTTTACAATGGCTGTTATTTCTTTGGTTTGCACACATACAGTGCAGAGGCCATGGGTCTAAAAGACTAGCAGCTCTTTTTATCTTTATCCTCACCCAACCTTCCCAAATGCAGAAGTAAAAAAACAAGCAACCAACCAAAACAGAAAACACATGATGATAATGATTGATCTTTTCACTCAAAACATGATTTTTCTCGCTAGGTGAGCCTTTATCCTTTTTAGTTTTTATTGGTTCACACTCAGTCACTTTAGGGAGGGAGATGGTTTTCTTGGGGTTCTTGAGGGAGGGAGGGAGCCGAGGGATCTGGATGGGTGGATGTGGTTTGTTAAGGAGGGTGCACCCTTTGCCCCATGGTCCATGGTAAATCCGGCACTGGACAAAAACAACTCTGCAGTGCCCCCTTCCCTTGTTGATGCCCTCAGCACATGCTTAGTTTGCTCAACTGCTAATTCGGGGCTGCAGCTGAGAGGAGGGCATTGTGTACTGTCTCTTTAAGAGGCAAGCTCAGAAGGTTCAAGGCTAGCAATCTTTACGGGAAGATGCAAACGAGTGCTGTCAGTTTGGCACTAGTAGGAAGAGAGTGACCTACACCACTGGTTCTTAACCTTGGGTTACTCAGGAGTTTTGGACTGCAACTCCCAGAAGCCTTCACCACCAGCTGTCCTGACTGGGGTTTCTGGGAGTTGCCGTTCAAAAGCATCCGAGTAACAAAGGTTAAGAACCACTGACCTACACCACCTCCTCAATCTCAAGAGTACAGGGCAATCCCAGGCCTATTCAAGTAAGTGTTATGTTTGACAAACTGGATGTTCCTTGAAAGGTTTAATACAGAAATGCTTTATTAGTCTGGAAATGCTTATCCTTAGGATCACTCAGTAATGAGTTACTTGCAACCAAAGCAAGATAAGGTGTAAATCTAACATGCAAAATGTCATTTAACCCCAAATTGATTTAACATCCCACTGTAGCTTGTGGCCTTGATCCAATTTTTGTGCAAATATCCCTAAGTTTGCAAGGAATTTATCATGCAAACAAGCACAACCTCTTCTGAAGACCTGAGCATCCCTATCAATGTTTCAACCAAAACCTTATTGAACATGTATGTTTATATTACACATATTTACCGGTATATTAGTTTTGGAATCCGGTTTGTATTAAGTTTTGATTGGGTTCACTTCACAGGGCACTCCCAGACCTTCAGTGGCTGGCTTTACAACTTTTTACAGTACTTTTATACCTATCCCAATATGAACTAATTAGTATCCCAAACTCACTGCTACAAGGCACTATGACCAGGGCTGTAAACTGGTGCATTTACAGCAACAAGTACAACAGCAGTAAAGAGAAATGGGTGGAAGAAGATGGGAGACACCAGAGGAAGAAAGAGAGTACCCAGGACACAAGCAAGAAGCGGAGTGGGGATGGGAGATGCAAGCAGAGTTCAAAGGCAAGTGAAGTAGAGAAAGAAGGTGAGGCAGAGAAATTCGAAGACAGCAGAGTTTTCATTTGTGAGGCACGAATATTCTCCAGGAAACAACCCTCTATTTTTAACGTTCAGCCTAATTTTAACAACTCACCTTCCACTGCCAGGAAACCATTTAGGCTCTGAGCGTGAGGGGGGTCTGGTATAATTAAAAATGGATGCACTTTGGCTTCTTTGAAATCCCTGCAATTACTTTCAATTGTAGTGGTAAGAGCCATATATTGATCCCTCCAACACACTCAACATCAATGTAATGTGATTGTTCTCAACAGCTCTTAAAAATTTAACCTTGTACCTGAATCATATTTTCAGTGCAACCCTGAGGGTAGAGCCTGACCCTTATGAGTCAAGATGCCCAATGCCTCCAGAGCTCTGGTGGGCTCTTCGTCATGGCAGACATCCCTCTTCCTCTGGGGCTGGTTGGTTTGCTTATTCTCTCTCTCGTCTATTGGGAACGATGGGCAAGAAATCATTTAGGCCAGCCCCTGCACCAGTCTAAATGGTCCCCGTTGTCAGAGGCCTGGTCAGGAAACAGGAGGCCGTTGAATCATGTGGGTCCAAGGCTTCTGAAAATCCACCCACACCACATGCCTGCTTGCCCCCTTTATCCTCTCCAGGTGTCAGGGAGTTGAGATCCAAATTTGGATCTAGTGCTCCAAGTCTGAAGCGCTGTTTCATCTTTCCTAGAGACCTTGGAACACCTCCCTGGGGCTATAAAGTGACACTATAAATAAATCATCTCTCCAATTAATTAGCATGTAATAATGAATATCAAATAGCAATACTTCGAAAAAACAGTGTATTCCGTAATCTGGTTAGTGAAAATGATCTTGATGGCAGTTTTTCAAATCCACCTTTTGATTCTGGAGTGACGCAGAGCTCTAGAGGGGAAAATTACAAAGAATACTTGAATTAGTTGCATTCAGAAATAACACAATATCAGAACCCTGAAAAATTGTTCTATCAGTTGAATACACAACATTCAGTATTAAAATAATTGTTAGGATACCAGACTAAAACACAAGCATATGAAATCAGCAAGGGACAGTTTGCACTTAGAAGCATATTATTTAGCACAGTTTTGTTTGCTGGAGTGGAAATCCCAATAAAATCCCAATAAAAAGAAAAATAAATCCTTATTAGCTTGAATAGTACTGACAGGGACACAATGCAATGCAATGGCCATAATCCTGTTAGGTAGCACAAGCGAAATGGTACGTTTCAGCTGGTTCCTTGCTGGCAGATAAAGAGCCCCTCCTGCATTTCTCAGGGGTGTGTGAGGAACGGAGTGAAACTTACCAATTTGGTTGCCCAAGAGGATTTCAGACAATGGCTATAGATCCAGAATTTATGCAACCCTGTTCATCTGATATAATGTACTTCAAGCACATCTCAGCTCACAGTTGGTTAAATAAACAAGCTATAATATATTGCGAGAGAAATTAGCAGGTAACACAGCATTATTACCTCCTACAATAGTTTCACATAGGCCAAAATTCTCTTGCATAAAATTATACCACATAAATTATATGAGTGCTCACTGGAAGGACAGATCCTGAAGCTGAGGCTCCAATACTTTGGCCATCTCATGAGAAGACAAGACTCCCTGGAAAAGACCCTAATATTGGGAAAGTATGAGGGCAAGAGGAGAAGGAGATGACAGAGGATGAGATGGTTGGACACTGTCACCAAAGCTACCAACATGAATCTGACCAAGAAGGCAGTGGAAGACAGGAGGGCCTGGCATGCTGTGGTCCATAGGGTCACGAAGAGTAAGACACGACTTAACGACTAAACAACAACAATGATTGCATCATCCAGCAAAGGGAACATATTTATTTATTTTAACTGGAAGCTCCCTATTCTTTTCTCTCAGGTTCCAATGTTCCCTTTTGCCCTGGGGAAGCCTTTGGGAGTCTCAGCGATCATTTGACAGGAACCTTTCAATGAATTTCAATTAAATATTCCAGTCACTGGATGATGATGTTACATTGTGTAACTTTACGCAAGAGGATTTCCGTCCTGGAAACTTTCAGCAGCCCTGACAATAGTGGTGTGCAGATGGCCACTTGAAATTCTCCACCTTTTAGGGGCAGAAAATTTGGTGCGGGGGCGGGGGAGAATTTCATTGAATTTCCCCAAGGAAAGACACAATTCTCCTGCAGCTTCTCAATGGTGGGCTTCACCATTAGCAGTATATGTTCTTTTTTTCTTCTCCTAAGGATTCTTGCACTATCAGTGCAAGGCACAAGAAATGAAATTGGGTTGGCAGCCAGGACACCACTTGGCTACCCCACAATGGCCTCTCATTCTATGGATATACACTGCGGGAAGGCAGTCATCCTGTTCCCTCCCACACGCACACCCAAACTGTGGGGAAGAAATTCTGTGAGTGGATTTCTTTTGCTGGGGACTAGCAACAATTAAGATCTTTTAATTTCAAGAAAAATGTATTTTAAGCAATTTTGGTTCAGTATTGGTTGGCATTCTTTGAGACTGTCTCCGGAGACATTTTGGAGGGGTCACTATAGTCACATTGTGCCTTTAGGGCAGAAAAGAGGCTTATAATAGAAAGCCTTATCCGTAAACTTTGCACCAAGTAGGAGAAAAGGCCGTGGGCCTCTGAAGACACGAGACATGTGCCATAATTTGTATTCCAACTTCCCATGTCCTCCACCCCTTTGGCTTCTGTTTTTCCCTGCCTTCTCAAGCCTCTTTAGAATTTCCTCTAGCGATATTTTTGGGCTTCCCATAAATATTTCAAAATGCCTGACGATGATGCATTTGCCTTTTCTTTCTATTACGCATCTCTCTGTTGCTCAGAGAGTTCTCTGCTAGAATTTGCTAAACTCCCCCTTTTCCTGCAGCTTGCATTCTTATAGTTTGTTCCCAATTCCCAAGGGCATCCACTCCAAGTTCCAACAGCAGAAACCTCTTAAGCCGAATGGTAGAGTAAGGCCATTCTAATAATTAGGTAGAGTGAGCGGGTTGCTTTGATCCCAGGAGAGCAGTGGCAGCCTCTTGTCTGTTAATCCAGGGCTGCAGATCGTGCCCTCTACCTGTTACTAGAAGGGCGGAATAGAAATGTAATAAATAAATGAATAAAACTACTGCAGTAAAAGCAGATTACTTACCAAAATTACCATCCAAGCGAATATAAAGCTCAAATACGCTAAATGCAATTGTTGTATGCGCAGGAAAGACAATAGCTCTGTCGCGTCCTTTGTAATTATGGTCATCGATAATATGGAACTATTTTGGGAAGAAAAATATGACATCAGCATTTGCCTTGAAACTACATGATGGTATGTGTGAAAATCCGGATTAAATGTTCAAAACTTAACACGTAATTTGTTTCCTTTTCCGGATAAATCAAGAGAAAGATCTCAGTGGTTTACAGCATTATTTTAAAAATGGCCCTCTAACTCAGATGCTGATTAAGTAAAGAACTTCCACATGTCCATCAGTACCTAAAAGGAACTCAGTCGCTCATGGGACTTCCACTTAAGTTTAGCAGCAGGCTCACAGCTGTGAACAAATGCATGCACATGAACTGTTGTCTCCAGAAACATTTAAAAGGACAGAAAGCAAGAGTCAACTTATGGGTGCCTGGTAGCCTCCTTACCCAAAGGATATGAATGAACGACAACACAGATGGGACAGTGTACAAAACTGAATTAGGGGTATGACAAAAAATCCACAAAGTTTCCCATCCTTGGCCACCTTCCACATCTTCCCACGCTGGGACTCTCCACCAATACTTTCTCTTGCATCAGCAAGATTTATATTAATAGGACATAAACCAGTGTCAAATTAGGCGCACATAAACCACAGATAAGCTGTTCATGGGACATGAGGAGTTTTACTGATCATGCTCACTTACCCTCATTGTGTCGCCTCTCACACCAGCATGCACAGATAGGGAACACTGCCGCGTTGTCCTGATACTCTCCATGACCACGCAAAGTACCGTCCTCTTACTGTCTCGTGACTGACGGACAAGGCAGTGGCCAAAATTAATTTTTCTAAAATAAAGAAGATAACCCACAGGCTTGCATTGCTCCTACTTACACAGCCCAAAAGCCACAGAACATTATGTTTGAAAAATACTCATGGACAATTTCAGAATTCATAAGCAAAGCGTATTCATAAACGGAGTGACAGTACAATAGTTAAAACTAGAACACCAACCTACTAGATAGTTCTCGGAGGAGTGCTGGTACCTCAACCTCATGTTTAGTTACAATGCCAAATGAAGCCTTTACTGCCAGGGAATCTGATCCAGCAACATTGACTCCAGAGCTCATAATATGATTTCCTCGTCTTCCATTCAGGGCTACATCTGATTTGTCTTCATAATTCAGTAACTGGTAGGATGAAATACCTAAAGGGGAAAGGATCATAGAATCATAGGACAATGGATTTGGAAGTGACCTATAAAGCCATTGAGTCCAGCCCCCTGCTCAAGGCAGGAATTCAAGTCAAAGGAGATATTTGATTCAATTGTGTCTTGAATGCTTCCATCACTGGAGAGTCCACCATCTCCCAGATTACTTATTGATTTTTTAAAAAAATGTCTAATGCTCCTCCTGCAGGCCAAAGTCAAGATACATCTCACCTGTGTTCACAGAACTGAAGCACAATCTGAAAATGCTACTTATCCGTTTAGATTCTGATTAGACTCACTCTGTGTTCTGGCCCAAGGCATTAATCTTGCATCCTGAGTCCATGTACGTCTGCTTTGAATTAAGTCTCACTGTGTTTGGAGAGGATTATTCCCAGTTATGTGTGAATAGGAACACAGCCCGAATTTCACTGTGATTTACTTCCTGCAGGATTGTCTGACTCATTTTGCTTCACGTGGAAGGAAAGGAGGCTAAGAGCAAGTTGTCAATTTTTTAAAAGTGGACTGTATGCACATGTTGTCCCTTTGATGAGGAAAAGCTCTTCAATCTAGGGCCTGCTCTTCTTACATGAATGCGGATGTGACACCCACCCACATGCCCTTCCTGCTTCTAGTTTTCTGCACTGCTTTCCATGCCTTGCCAAAGGTTACTCCAACCCTCCACAGCAGATGGAAAGGCATCAGAGGTTTTCAAGGGGAAAAGGAACAGCCCCACGTTGTTCCCCTCCAAAATTCTTCTAAGAGGTGCCTCCATTGAATCTAAAAAGCCTTTTTGGTAGTGAAAGGAAACCATGAGGTCGAGCCCATTAATGATTAATCACACAGAAATAAGTTTATGCCTCATAGAAGAATTATGAAAAAAAATTCACCTCACATCTAACTTGACAATGGCTGCTCAAAGGCCAGCTAGAGAAAGCAGAACTCTCCTGGGAGATGTTCAGACCATCCGAGAGACACAGACGTGTCTGCAGAGAGAGGGTGTTCCAGAACTGGAAGGTAGTATTTCTGGTATAGCATATCCCGTTTCTCTTCACTGGGTTGAGTTCAGCTTTCAGAATTCAATTCAGAATGTTCCTTTCTGCACAAAAGTGGGTGGGTAGCATTTCTCTCTATTTCCTCCTTCCTCTGCACCCCATTGTTCCAGAACCCTCCAAAATAGATTTTGAGGGCCATCTGGGAGTGCAGGGGAGGGAAGTATCCAAGAATGTTGCAATTGCCTCCATTCTACAAATGGAATTCCTCTGCTGGATCAGAAGCCTGACACAAATAGTAGAAGCTTGCATCCAAGCTACTTGAAAGGCTCCATTTCCTCACAGCTTTAAGATATCTGGAGGAGGTCTTTCTCTCAGTCCCATTGGGTTCAAAGGGTCATTTAATGAGGACTCAGCAGAGGGTCTTTTCAGTGGTTGCTCCTAGAATGTGGAGCTTACTGGCAGAGTATGGAAATTTATGGCAAAAAACCCCTCCTAACTACAAAGTGCAAAACGTTAGGAACCTACAGAGCAGAATTAGCTCAAAATCTTCCCTAAGTAGACCACCCCTTATTGGGTTATTCTCCTCAACTAGTGTGTACTGTTTCAATAATTCATTCAGAGACACTGAAAAGAGAAAAAAATAAAAAGGTTTCCAATTTACTCCCAGCTCTTCATAGGTCAAAAACAAACAGCACTGTGTTCCAACTCCCCCAGCCAAAACCTCTTAAAGGCAACATATGAGGGTGCAATGATTCCAACAACTTTCATCCAGTCGAGGCTAGGATAGCTCCTCTCTTCAGTCCTTTTGCCAACAGACAAGACACTATCATGCTTTTGGCCACTCCTCTGGTTGCAGAGATTGATTTTCCAGGGGAGGTTGAACTTCTCTTTTCTTCTTTAAAACTCTTTTCGATGTATTTTTTTAATATTTTATTTTTGACAGTTGGTCCTTTTAAATTAAGTCTAATAATCTTTCATAATATTGCCCGTTTGCCACAATTTTTAATATTTTAATTTATATATGGAGAACCACCTTCATCTCATTAAGTGGCGTTCTCCTTTGGGTCCCTGGATTGGAAGAAAGGCAAGATAGAAAGGAAAGGAAATTGGATAAGCAAAAATAAAGAAGAGCTTCAAATAACAAGTGCTAGACCATGAATACAGTTAAAAAATGTCTGAATCACCTGGTAGACTTCATATTAAACTACCTCAGTTCAAATATTCTAGAAAGGACATTTTGTTATTTAGTTGTTTTATTTGGTTATATGTCTTTCTAAGTATATAACTAAAGTACAGTATATTCTTTCAAATATAAGGAGAAGAAAGGGTTCTACTGGTCATAATTACACTGTTATTTTGCCCTATTTGAAATATGCAATTTGTCACGGTGGAAAACACTGGTTATGTTACTTGTTGCAGGCCAAACAGATTTTAATTCTTCATCAAAGAAACTGCAAGGAATTGAACTGTCTGATATTAGAGCAACCAATAGTTCTTCATGACTAATGCAGAAACTTTAAATGTTTGTACATAATCTCAGAATCTCTATTACTAGAGATAAATATGTTTATTCTGAGATAAACATACTGTATTTGGGTTGAATCTGTTGGAGTTTCATTTACAACCTCACATGCTGTCTGGGAAGGACTTTTCTGAGCTGGGGCAATTGTCAATCTATCCAGCATTAACCAATTGTTCCTTCTAGTCTTTGAATTCAAAGAGAGCCCTACCTCTCTGGTGAGTGTTCTAGCAATCTCTTTAGTCAGTTGGTGGCAGCTGTTTGTCTGCTGTTGATCTGTTCAGTTGGTTGCTAGTATATGTGCAGTAAAGAAAGCAGCATACAGAAGTCTGTAATTTCAAGCAAGTGTCAGTAAATACACATTTTTATCCTTTTTACTAATTTCTCAGAGTGAGATACTAAGACTTTAAGTGCCAGTTAATGAGAAAGAGTGGACTCTGAGAAACTTGTAGCTATTCTCCTCTGTGGATCTCTGTATTTCTACTGCATAGCAAGAGGGAATGTTACCCGAAATTCAAAACACTGCAACAGACTCTAGCCTAAGTCAAATCACACTCAGGTAGCCACTATAAACAATAGGACTTTAGTCAGTCATGTGACCAATATTTTACATTGATTAAAATGTGACTAAATTAGATTGATCCTTTGCCAAAAATAGCTTTCAGGATTGAAAAAGGGAAAGATGCAGCAATGTGATGTGGGTTTTTTTAAACAAGGTAATGAACATATCAGCAAGATGGAAGCTGGGGCCCTTCAAATGATGTTACATTCCAGTTCCCATCAGCCCTTACCAGTGTGGCCAACGATGGGAAAGTCTGGCACAGGTTCTGCATCCTTTAAATACATCAGAGCCATGTTCAGCAGGACAGTGTTGCGTACGGTTTGTGAAGCACTCCGCTTTCAAACAGGCCTCTGTACTCACAAAGACATGTAGGTGGGAATAGAGGATTTAAAAGGAGCAAGGGATGATATACCAGGGGGTTGGGAGTTAATATGGGTGGAAGACCCCTGCACCAGAAAGCACGAAAAGGTCCGGGTTCCCAAGGAGGAGGCAGACTATAGAAGAAGGAGAGGTTTGCCTCCACAACCCTCGACCCTCGTTTTGGGGAGAGTCGGAAGTGTGTGAGTGGCGCCGGAGGCTGAGAAAAGAAAAGGAAGCTGTGAAAAGGGAGGAGAGAAAAAGACGGGCATGGAGACTGGAGGAAGCCCGGCGGAGAGGGTTCCTGTCAGACCGTGGGCTCCCTTATGAGGAGAAGAGGACTCCTTCGATCCCAAGGGGAGAGATGAGGAGACTATACCATTACTAGACCCTGGGATGGACACTTTGAACTTGGAGGGCAGTAATCCCTTTACCAAAAGACCCTGGAATGACCCGTTCACCAAAGATGTTTGGACGCCCTCATGGGACCCATTGGTCACGAGAGACAATTTGAGAGTTGAGTCAGAGACAAATGATTTAATGTTTAATGTTCCAATAGAAACTAGTTTTGATTTTGCAACTCAAGAGCCTCCAATGTCTATGCTGAAACCAGAGGAGACCCCATTTGAACTCTCACATGTTATATTATATTACAAAGATTACACAAAATACTGAACCAAATGTTTAATCATAAAACAATTATCAGTGCAAACTCCTAAAATGTAGTAATAAATCTCCAGTCTTTTGCCAAATGTAATGTTTAAATTTAGGAGTGTAAATGCTTGTTTATATTTACTGTTTGTTTCCTCTTTCTTTATGATAGCTTAGACTATATTTTAAATATAAATTGCCATACAGTTTTGCATTTACTGCATTCACTTATACTTCCACACCAGAAAACAATATTTGTACAAGTTTTAAAGAGTTTGGAGGGGGGGGGATCCAAGATCTTACCAGCTGAAATTTCTTTTTCTCCCTGAAGGATGTCTTTTAGGCCAAATGGTGTTGAAATAAACTTTGATCGTCTGGAAAGGAAACAGCTTTTCTTCTTGATGACAAGACTGAGAGGCTGATATTTATCTGCTTCGCTGAGGCTGCGAACAGGAACTAATCGACCTCCATCACCAACCTGCTTAACAAAACTTTTGGTAGCAGCAGCAAACATATTACGCATGAATGATGAAAGATAATTTTCCCCCCTCAACTGCAGTTTTCAAGCCATATAGTCATCTTTCAAAGATCTGTTAACTGCTCTAAATTAATGGATAGAAGAGAAAAATGCTTCTTTCTTCTAAAGCTTATTACCTTTAACTGAAAGAGAAGTACTAACATTGTCTTAATCATCCAGCTTCTCTAGTGTATTATTCAAGGACTCCCTTTCATTGCTCAGCCATGTTCAAAACAATTAATAATAAATTAACAAGGTAAACTGATAGGACAACATTCAGCTGTGCTACGGCTGTACCTTCCTATATTGCACTCCTTGCTTTCCCATCCCTTTTACATGACTTAAAAACAACAGCTCCTCTTTAATCACATATCACTAATTTTTGATTAGTATTTGCAGCCGAAAAGAAACAACCAATTAGTTTGATACATCTGCAATAATCCCAGCGTGGTTTTCTTTTCTCTTCTGAAATTTATTATTTCTCTCAGCAGTTCACTTGTATAATTTTAAGGTGTCATAATTTTATTGTCTACACATACCGCCAAGACACAGTGAATACCATTTACCTGAATTTAGGTGAGAATTAGAAGCTAACTTCATTCACTGAAATGTTGTAAACACAACACTTTAAAATGGGATCGTTTTTACCTCTGGCAAGCAGATTTTAAGCACATTATATGAATGACCTTAGGACCCTGATACTTTGGCAAGGTCTTCTGTTAACTTGAAAGCGGTGTGGTGAATTGTTTCCTAAATCTTGTACTCACCCCCATCCCTAAGTTACATGGGGCAGGATATGAAATGGCATCATTGCATTACTTTGGACTAAATGGGGTGTGTTGTAGCTCCATTGCTCTTCTGAAGAACCTGAGGTGGAAGTATACTGCCCACTTTCGTAGCCTGTTCTGGAAACCTTTGAACAATACACCCAACTAATAGCTCCAACTGGGAGAAAAAGCCACCTCATGCTCATCTGGACTGGCCTTTAGGAGGGGCCCAGTTGGCATGAGGAAACTTTGACTATAGCTATGAGAGGGTAGCAGGTGTATCCATTACAGTGCCAGCAAAGAAAGTTCAGGCTTTTTTCTTTCTAAGACAAGAGAGAGGCTTCCACTCGCTCCCCACATAGCTGACTAGGGCTGGGATGGCACATTGTAGATAACTTGCAGCAGGCAGCAGTGGTAGTGGGGGCGGCAGTGGTAGTCTCCCTGGCCCTTGAAGATGCCACTGTGCTCCCCAATTGCTGCCACCATCACTCTCCACCACCTGCTTTATAAGCAAGCTCTGAGGAAGAGGAAGGCCTCACTTTCCTGGCTGACGTCTTGGTGCTCTTTAAAATGGTGACCAATGTGCACTATATTAAAATACAGCAAAGCCTCATGGCATAGTGGCTAAACTGCAGTACTGCAGTCAAAACTCTGCTCATGACCCAGGTTCAGTCCCAGGTACCTGGCTCGAGGTTTACTCAACCTTCCATCCTTCTGAGGTTGGTAAACTGAGCACCCAACTTGTTGGGGAGGGGGCAATGTGTACCCTGCATACTTAAATTGTAAACTGCCCAGAGAGAGCTTTAAGAGCTATGGGGTGGTATATAAGCAGCATGCTTTGCACTGCATACATAATGCAAAGTGACAGAAATCACTTCTCCCTGACAGCAGCTTGAGGCAAAACTGTATTTCCAGCCCTGTCCCAACCTGACCACCTGAGAAAGGCTTTTAAAATTAGTCTAAGAACTGCATGATCCAGCTTAGTGAAAATGGTGGCTCACTTGACCTTATGCTTTATCTGTTGTTCAAACCCAGTTTTCTTCAGGTAGGGCTGAAAAGGCCTTCCTTCTGAAATCCATGAGAGACATTTTCATTCAGTGCAAAATCCTGCTTTGTGCAAAATCAGCACAAAGAATCATGGTTTAATCATGCAGAGCTTATATTGCAAGGCTTTTACAGTATTATAAAGCATTCTTTCCCAAGCCTAACTGTGCTCAACAAGGCTACCTTTAGGGGTGGCACAATCTGCAATATGAAACAGTGGACTTCCGTCAGTCTGGGCATTTTTACAATGTGTAGAGACTAAAATAAGAGAAGGTAATGTTTTTCACATGGAATGAGATCAGAGCTAGGAATTCCTGCTAGTACCATTCCCCTTCCCCTCCCCAGGAGATTGGGTAAAAACTGGTATGTTTCTGCTCTGTCACAGTTCTTAGAACCCTACATTTCTGAGTTACTTTCTATGGGCACTCCTTGTTTCCACATAGGACAAGATTTTAAAATGGCTTTGTAATGGAACCGAAAGTATGACGTCATTCCTGCAAGTCAATCAGGGGATGGAGCAGGAGGGGCGGAGTCAGAATGACAGTTGGAACAGCTGGGTCAGACAGTTAAGGGGCTGGAATCAGAGAGAGAGAGAGAGGTTCAGGCAGAGTTAGGGACCAGAAGTTATTAAGAGAGGGCTAGGATTTAGGAATAGAAAAAGGGTCAAGGAAGAGAATTGAAAGAGTTAAAATATAGTGAACAAGCAGGAATGAATGTCTAAGTATAACAAGAGAAATATTGACATGATCTGATATATGTTAACACCTGATTTATTATACATGAACATATGAAATAGTTATATTTGATTCTCCTTATGATTTGTTCAATAATAAAAGAATATTTATTTAAAACCCTTGATTCCTGAAATTGTATGACCCTTTGGGGTGACAGCTCCTGAGTGTGTGGGATTTGATTTGGTATTAGTATAATACCTGGTGGCAGCGAAAAGGGCGTATCTACCTTTGTGGAGGGGGATCGCCACAGGCTTCTTTGATTAAAGTCTGGAAATCCTCTATGTATATACAAGGATATGCTTTCTTAGCTTAGTTTTAAAATCTCCCCCTCTGTGCTGATACTGAAATCACCAAAACAGTCAGAATAGCTGATATGAAATACAGCCTTCCCTGAATACATGAATTAGAGATGGGCACAAACTGGGAAATAGGTGGTTCGTGATGGTTCATGGCTACTCATGAACCACAAATCTATAACTTTTATGAATCCCCCCCCCCCTGGACCAAATGACTCAGTCTGTGGTTTGTTTTGCAGGCTCAGGCTAGGGGCAAGTGCACTGCCTGTCCATGCCTTCCGCTCCCATTGCCCCTGTTGCCTCCCTACCTTCTCTTAAAGCCTCTGCCACCACTGTACAACCATCCTGACTGGCAGCAGGTCCAGCTTCAAAGACCTAGGCCTCCTGCTTTTGCACATATGCCCACCTGTCTGCAAGGAGCTGGACCTGCTGTCTATGTGCATGTGCCCACTACTCAGCTGACAGGACGGCACATAGCACATCAATTATTATTTTAAACAGAACAAAAATCCACTTCCCTTGCCCTCTGCCAAGCAGGGAAGTGATTGATTTGCCAATGTCTGGAAACAGTTTGCTATTCCACCAACTGCAGGTGATGCTGTCCTTTCCCTTCAGCGTTGCCTGGGGGCCGTACTGCAATGGATGCAGGAGAACGGACTGAGGCTGAATCCGGATAAGACGGAAGTTCCGAGGGTGGGTGCCCCCGTGGTAGGTGGCTTGGGTGGCTCTCTCACATTTGGGGGGACCACCTTGGCCGCGAAGAGTGGGGTCTGCAGCCTTGGCATATATTTGGACCCGACGCTCACCATGGAAACTCAGGTGGCGTCGGTAGTCCGCACCGCATTTTTCCATCTTTAGCAGATTGCCCGGGTGCGACCCTATCTTGACATGGGGGCGCTCACTACCTTGGTGCATGC